CTTTATCATCTGGTATCTTGAGGTTTTACAGAATCTGAAGCAAACTATAAAACTAAAGCTGTCATCAAATAATTTATGCTAGAATACAATATCTGATTTATAGAATACCTCTATGTAAAAATATATCAGGCTTTAAATAATATTTTCTCTCTCATAATATACAATTACATCTGGTTAAAATCATCACTATACCTAACTGAAGTTATGAATTTGTATTTATTTTCTTTCTTTTTTTTCAGTTTCAAGCTAAACTGTCATTCCATACTTTTGTAAACATCTCAAACAAATAATTGGATATTCACTTTGTTTTAACCAAGCAATCACTTTTTTTTAGAAATTACTTAAGTACTGACATTTATACTCTCTTAATGTGTTATTGGGTTTGATGTTTAGTAATTACTTATCCACTGATTTTACAACTTGAAACTTGTCTGTTAACAACACATGCACTTCTCTAACATAATTATTACATAACCTTAGCTTGTGCTTTTTGGCAAATACTAACTGACACAAAACATGAACTGAGAATGGAATATGGCCACTATTTCACAGGATACAAAAAGCCTCAGGCCTAATGTTGTAGATCTTACTTGACTGGTTAATTTTTTGTTTCCTGATTTGGCCTTGAGCATTGTTACAAACATTATGTTAAGTAGACAATATGTAATTAACATTTTAAATAAGTGGACATTAGTTCCCTTCCTGTTGTTAGATATACCTTTCCAAGTTGTATAATTAACAATGGACAACAGACTGATCTCAAAGGGATCTAATAGCAGCTTTGTACCCCAATTGAAATAAAATTAGGTTACGAGTTTTCTGGGTTATCCTACAAATTAGACATTTGGGGAAATGACTAAAGTTGTAAGCATAAAAAAAGTATAAGGAATCTACATTATATAGAATATTACTTAAGTTCATGCATGTGTTAGTCAATCTAGGCATCTCAAAAAATTAGTTAGTTTGAATGTGACTTTAAATGTGGCTTTCTTAGTTTCTATACATTCAAGTGTAATTGTAGAACAGTGTTGGAATACATGACATTAACAAAAGTGAATTCTGCATAAATCTTCACATAATGTTACATAACATGTTACTAACCCAATTAGTGACTAAGCACACTTATATAACAAAATCATGACAGTTCCCAACAATTTCTACACATCATTATCTGTGGGTGATGAATTAACCCATTAGCTGCTACGGTTCTCATACGAGGTTCAGAATTCTGCGACCTATAATTCAACTGTGCACCAAATTTTTCAGCCATACAGAGTACCATACATCATGTTGTGCCTCCTTCTATCCACCCACACTCTTCCCAGAACCGAGTTGCATCTCATACGTCATGGAGGGTGCACATGTCTCTTCCTCTGATAGTGAGCCTGTACCATCAACTTCTCGCGGTACTGGTAGGGCAAGGAAGAAAATTATTGCAAAGAAAAGACAACCTGTGAAGAGAAAGATAGAAAAATAGTTTTTAAGCAGTAGTGAGGAAGATATCTATGATCCAGTGCCTCCTCGTGGTCATGATGCCAAGCACCCACCACCACCTATGCATCCAAATAAACTAAAGCTTGGAAAAACTTTGCCTTCCAAGTGGATGCCCATGATTTTCGACTCTGATAGAGATGTTTCATCCCAGGAATCAGAAGACAAGGATTGGGACTCAGATAGTGAAGGAGAATGTTGTGTTCAGGATGTTGAAGTAAGTCGTGATGAGTTATCAGGGGAGAAGGGTGAAGAGGAGGAGACAATTGCCTCTTTTCTTCCACATGAGGCTACCTATGCATCTCTTGTGTGGACTGATGGTTACAATTTTCAGCCACATATTCATGATTTTGATAGGTAGCATTCATGTGTGACTGAGGACTGGCGTCATGGTGATGATGCAAAAGAAACTAACTATTTTGAGGCCTTCTTTGACCAGGAATTGATGTCATTTATTGTCACAGAAACCAACAAATATTACAGGTACATAGTAGATAACTATATTCATGCCTAAGTCCCACATTCATAGATGGGTATATACGTGTGAAGGAATTGAATGTATTTTTTGGCCTACTTTTATTGATGCCCCATATAAAGGAACATAGGCTCCAGGATTATTGTAAAATTGACCCATTGATTAGAATCCCAATTTTTGGAAAATACATAACCAGGGACAAGTTTCTCCTCCTCCTAAGATTTTTACACTTTGCTGACAATAACCAACCATCTGAGAATGATCAAAATATGGAAACTTAGAGAAGTGTTTGCTGTGATAACTTCAAGATTCAGCAAATTATTTTACCCATTCTATAAGCTAGTGATCAATGAATCTCTAGTTTTGTTCAAAGGTAGGCTTGTTTTCAAGCAGTATATATCATCAAAATGCCATCCATTTGGATTAAAACTTTTTGTTTTATGCTGTTGTGAAACTGGAATTGTCTTAGATGCCATTGTATATACAGGTACTAACACCGACATCCCCAAAAATGACCCTCTTGGAGTTTCTGGTGCTGTGGTGAAGAAGCTAATAGCAAAGTACATGGGAAAAGAGCATTTATTATATATATACACTGATAATTGGTATTCATAACCAGATTTGAGTAATTTCATGCATGCACAAAAAACTGGAACTGTGAGAAAAAACTAGTAACACATGCCAAAGTTTACTGCACAAATGCAGCATGGTGGATGTGAGTGAAGAAAGTTAGGTAAAGTACTAGTGATGAACTGGCATGACAAACATCGTGACAGTGATCAGTACCTTTTACAAAGATGAAATGCAAGACAGTGGCAAAGTGGACTATAAAACTAAGGAATCTATAGTGAAACCAGATGCAGTGATTGACTACACAGAGAATGTGAGGCTTGTTGACAAAAGTGATGCACACATTGGAGGGGTAGTATGTGTGTGAGAAAAACACTGAAATGGTACCACAAACTCTTTATGCATGTGCTTGACGTCACCATCCTCAATGCATCCACATTAAAAGTGGAAAAACAATGAAACTAAGAGAATTTAGTTACAATGTGATGTTTCAAATTCTTGAGAAATAAGGAACACTTGCTGCATCAGGCTAGGGACGATGTAGTGTGAATCTACCTTACAGACTCCTTGCCAAAGAATGGGCTAATCATCACTTTCTGACAAACACAGAGATGGAAAGAGGACACCATAAACAGTTGACATATCGTGTGTGCTTTAGTTCATCACTACAACAGCGACGGAAGAAAAAGTATCTACAGACTACAAGGAATGTTAGCTAGGATTTTGTTCGGATTGATTCAGGAAATACCACACCATGAATAAGTACTGAAATGTAATGAAGTAGAAATTGTAAATGGTAATGTGAAAATGTATATACTGAAATGTAGTGTAGTGAAGCAGAAATTGTACATAGTAATGTAGTGAAGTAGAAATTGTACATAGTAATGTAGTGAAGTAGAAATTGTACATAGTAATGTGAAAATGTATATATGCTGAAATGTAGTGTAGTGAAGCAGAAATTGTACATAGTAATGTAGTGAAGTAGAAATTGTACATAGTAATGTGAAAATGTATATATGCTGAAATGTAGTGTAGTGAAGCAGAAATTGTACTTAAGTAATGTAGTGAAGTAGAAA